AGAGAATCCTGCTGATATGCTGACAAAAGTGGTGACTGCGGTCAAGTTTCAACATTGTTTGGATTTGATTAACATTGTTGAACAATGAAGATTGAAGATAAAGACACAACCAAAATTTATTATTGAGAGAAAATTGAAGATGTGGAATTTTGCCAAGGTGGAGATTTGTTGAATTTGGCAAATCCCACATCGGTGGTTTAGCCATTTGGTAGGGAATTTTTCCCTATAAAAGGAGGCCTAATGTTTAGGATTTTGACAAACCTTTCATTTGTTTTCTTATCTTCTTAAGTCATTTGTATCTTCTCTATTTAGTATTATTTCACTTGTATTTTTGGAGTGGAATAAAATATTGGTTGTGTCAGAGGAAGTAGGCAAAATTGGTCGAACCTCGTAAATTCTGGTGTTCCTTTTATTGTTGCTTTATTGTCTTATTTATTATTTGGTGGTTGTCATAATTTTTGGTATAGTAGTTATGATTCATACACATTATATACATTTGGCTTCCGCAACAGTTTTCTCGTATGCTCATCCTCAATTCTTCACTCCATGAGCTAGCTTGTTAGTTGAGTTAGACCAAGTCCATGGTATCAGAGCCAAACTCATCTACATTGTTGTGTTTTCCAATGTTGGGCTTACATTTTTTCATTACATTAAATAATTACAGGGAAGGGGAAGAGGAAAAGAGGTGGCAAGATTTCGTTCCCACACCGATTGTATAGAAAATTTCTCTATGTTCCACTTGTCCAGACGTAGGCATGCCGCATATGGGGGAGAATCGTACCGGCACTGATTTTATGGAAAATTTCCCTACGTCCCAGTTGTCCTGGGCATGTCGTTTAGGTGTGGGGGGGGGATGGGGGGAGTGCGGAGGGGCGTGCGTGTTCCCACATTAGTTGAGGAAATGAGTTGTCTCTTAATATGGTCTTGAACAATTCTCGCCTCATAAGCTAGCTTTTGGAGTTGAATTAGGCTCAAAGTCCATTTTCTTAACATTGTAATTAGATTAAGATATTAATTGAAGAATAAAGGAATAAGCCATTTCGTACCCTGATGAAAAGTGGAACAAAATAATGAGCCATTATTTACCGGCCTGATCTTTGGAGCTGTTTAATTGTTCATTATATGTGATGACATGATTGTATGAGGGGCACGTGAAGGTGATTGCCGATGAAAAGATTGATGAAGTTGTAAACTATATCTGTTGTTAATGGAAATACAAAATACTCTCTCAATCTCATTTTATATGACCCTATTTAACGGGAGTTTAAGATGCTAAATTCACTTATTTATTATATTTGTATTAGCGTAATGGAAGAAACAATAAGTTTGAGAGAAATTATCATATCACAGTTAACATTTGAATAGTGTAATGTACTTGAATTCTTATAAGTTGTGAAAGTTGTATAGAAATAGTATGGTGTCAAACATGCTGTGGCGTCCCAAAATCAAATGAACATCATATAAATTGGAACGAGAGAGTGCATTATTATTTGGCAGCAGAATAGACTTTTGATTCAGCTCATCATATCACTTTCTTTGGTGAGACAGATAAATTTCAGTTTTATGTTTATGCTGCTATAATGTAAGTATTAGTTCCTGGCCATGATTGAGTGACACAAATTTTCTCTTCTTTGGAAAAAAGCAGTTCATATACGATCTACCTGCTAGGTTAGCAAAGTGCATCAAATCAGAAGCCTATGCTGATGCAGTAAAATACTATACAGGAGCCATGCCCATTTTCAAGGTTTGTAGGGATCCTTGGGTCCATAACTTTACCCTTTTCATGATATCATTGCGTTTAAAAATCTTAGTTTTGCTGATGGTACTTATTTGTACTAGGCATATGGGGACTCTTCATTTCAGGAGTGCAAACGAGCCTCAGAAGAAGCAGTTGCTATCATTATTAAAGCCTTGCAGGTCTGTGAGTGATCCAATTTCTTGGTTGGGAGTGGCCACTTGATTCGGTGTTTGTATAATTCCTATGCACCAAGTAGATCCCTGCGACTACTTTTGAAGGAGCATAGGATAAACATAAAGTAGGGAATGCAATTTTCTGGACATGTACCCTACTTGTTTGGTTTTACTGTTAAGAAAACACAGTTGGACTTCAGATGCATATTACTTCTTGTTTGCTTTTCAGGGCAAGGTATTCTCCGATTCCGAATCCATACAAGCCAGGGCAGAGGCTGTTATGCTCCTTAAGCAATTAGATTTTCCGGTCTGTATCACGCCTCC